TTCTTTCTATATTATTGTCACTTGTAGTATGTTTCTAATTTTTGATTTTTGTAAAAAATTAAATTTTACACGTTCTTTTAAAAGAATTTAAAGTATAACATATTTACACGTACATTTTCTATTCCTTGGCTATGTACATGTATTTTCCATATTTACATTACCAGAGTCACTGTCAGATCTACTCATGAACTCTTATTAACCGGTCAAAATATATTCGACTGAGTTTAAGCAACAAAGTTTCCTTGTAAACCGCATAACACAATTTTATAGGAGATCGAATCGTGATTTTATATCATGGACATTTAAATCTAATTCCAAAATATTCTTTCAAGGGGCGGGTAAGCCATATTAAGGTAAATATGGGAAATCAAATTCGTTGCATTCTTCCATATACATGTAATATAAAACGAGAGATGTCGTGCCTAAAACAAAATTTAAAAGTTGACAAAATAAATTTACAAAGAAAATGGAATCTTTGATTCTTAATGATACAAGAATATGAGTATTCAAACATGCATCAAATATGTAATTATATTGAAATTCCTAGATAAAAAAAGATGCATACTATGATAATGAGTAGGTGTGCAATAATATAACAACATATACTTTTTCATAATGTATAAAAAAGAGAAATATTAACTTCAATTACGTGCTTTATACACAGTACCATCTGCTCACGTTTTATATGAATACAATACAGTGGAATTCAATGTGATTATCAAATATCTCTGGCTCGTTATAAGCTTAGACGGTGTACATTTTGAAGAATAATGTGATAATTTTGATAACAAAAGTTTATAAAGTGCATTAAGGAGGGAATCATTCTACCTCCATAACGTGCTATAGATTGATTGATTAATTGTATATTGTTTAACGTTCCTCTCGAGATTTTTTCACTCATATGGAGACGTCACCGTATGCCGGTGAAGGGCTTCAAATTTTGACCTTTACTCGGCACTCAGGGCCATTGAGCAGTGGGGGATCTTTATCGTGCCAACGCCTGCCGCTGACACGGGACCTCGGTCTCATCCGAAGGACCCGCAACTTTCACTTCAAAGTGCCGAGCGCATGGCGAAGGAACAGTTGCTACCAATTTTAACGACTAGGTCAGTCGAGGCCGAGATACGAACTCACGACCTCCTGATCACGGAGCGAGCGCTCTACCGACTGAGCTACCATGAACGGTACGTGCTATAGAAGGTATTTGTTTGTAGTTGAGATGTTTGAAAAAATTTCAAATAAGTTTGACATAAAATAGAATTTGACACGATATAATTTGGAAAAATATGACAATCTTGATTCTCTAAAACACATATACATGTCCTGAGGTTTTACTTCAAAATTGACCCAGAGCTTATCCCTTAACATAAGAATATAACGATTTAAGCAATGTTATTATCCTTCAGAATTATACAGTCAATCTGATTGGTTTAGAGCAGGTCACGTGCAGGGAGACAACTCGTGATGTCTCCCTCACACGCAGGGTGACAACTGTTATCTCCCTTCAGATGACAATGAAATAGCGTAAGCGAGCATGCAGGGTTACAACTGTGTTGTCGCCCTTTTGATAAAAACTACCGTGGTTTAAGTGAGATAACTCCTATTTATAAGTACAATGGCTAAATATGCGGGATCGGTAAACAATAAATTGTAACGATGACGTCAAAGTTGTCTGTTGACATATTTTGAAAGGATGGAATCGGAGCAGAGTAGAAGAAAACAAGAGGTTTGATTACTATTTTCTACTCTATCTATAATTGATAATTGAATATTCTTCAGGATAATAAAACTATTATGGACTGTTTAGAAGGGAGACATCACCAATTATCAGGTCTGAGTAGGGTTGTCACCCTCGGGCACAAGCGCCCTCGGGCAACAACCCTACTCAGACCTGATAATTGGTGATGTCTCCCTTCTAAGCAGTCCATAATTGTATATTAAATCAATATGAGACTTTTGGTCCAAATGCGGTATTTGTAAAACAATGAATAAACATCACACATATTTTCCTCATGAACTTCACGTTTTTTTTCGAAATCGTTTAAGATTTTGAGAAAAACAAATGCCAGTTAACTTTTTCCGTGTTTAAAGAGGGGACATTAGCAAGAGGCCCATGGGCCTTATAGGTCTCCTGAGCATCATGCAACAACTTAACAACGATTGACTTTGTTTCAAGTTTTAAACTAGATGTCATGGCATTCAAAATTTTGAAAGAGGCACCATTACTAATCATAACTAAACACTCAGCATGTTTAGTTTGGTAACTTAATACCCATAGACAGAGTAGGGGAACAAAAAATGCATTTCGACTAGTCAGTAATATTCAGCAATAATCCGTATAGTGCACCTACCACACCTTAACCCCTGACCCTTGGTCCACACATTTCACAATATTTTATGAATACAAAGATTTCAATCAATTAATTCAATTTCATTATATAAGTAGAGCCCCCCCCCCCTCTATGGTACCCCTGACCCAGGGGCATAGAAATTCACAATTCAGAAAGAATGGCCCTTGCTCATCATAGCTATATAGGTAGTTCATCTGCTTAATTCCCAGGAGCAAAGAAAAAGATTTTCAAACAATTTCTGGATTTTCTCTATATAACCAATAGAGCCCCGCCCTAACACCATACCTCCTGACCCTGGGGTTATACAATTCACAAAGGTATTCTTCCACATCATAACTATGTACTTAGTTAGTTTATTTAATACCCAGGAAAAGAAAGAACATTTTTAAAGAAATCTCTTTTCACTATATAATCAATAGAGCCCCGATCTAACCTCAGTACCCCCGACCCTGGGGTCATAGAATTCATAATTTTGGAAGAGCATTTTTGCTCATCTTAACTATATACTTAGTTAGTTTGTTGAATACCCAGCAGCAGAGAAGATTTTCAAACAATTTCTGCATTTCATTTTTTTTATATACAGGTCATCAATAGAGCCCCGCCCTAACACTAGAACCCCTCACCCTTGGGCCATCAAATTCACAATTTTGGCATTCTTCCTTATCATAAATATGTACTTGGTTAGTTTATTTATTATACAGGAGCAGAGAAGAAGATTTTTAAAGAAATATTTCATTTTCACTACATAATCTATAGAGCCCCGCCCTAGCACTGGAACCCCTGATCCTGGGGCCATAAAATTCACAATTTTGTAAAAGGCTCTCTTCCACATCATAAATATGTACTTGGTTAATTTATTTAATATACAGGAGCAGAGAAGAAGATTTTTAAAGAAATAATCCATTTTCACCATATAATCAATAGAGTCCCGCCCTAGCACTAGCTAGAACCCTTGACGCTGGGGCCATAAATTCACAATTTTGCAAAAGGCATTCTTCCTCATCATAACTATGTACTTAGTTAGTTTATATAATACCCAGGAGCAGAGAGAAAGACTTTTAAAGAAAAAATGCATTTTCACTATATAATAAATAGAGCCCCACCCTAGCACTATAACCCCTGACCCTGGGACCATGAATTTCATAATTTTGGTAGAGGACTCAATGGTCATTACATTCATGCTAACAGTTTGACTGCTTGATGTTCAGGAGTAAAGAAGAGGATTTTTTAAAGATTGCACTAATTTTAGTGGTTTTGGCCCCAATCCTTAGACCCCAGGGGGGCAGGGACCATGAAATTCACAATTTTTGTTTCACTTCACCCATAAAAATTAATGCTTTATGTAAAATTTGGTGGAAATTGGTTGAGTGGTTGCAGAGGAGAAGCTGAAAATGTTCAAATGTTAACACACGACGAACGACGCACGACGACAGACAAAAACAGATAGCAATAGGTCACCTGAGTTTACTCAGGTGACCTAAAAACCAAGTTTGTAGTTGAACCATGTTTTGGCTGTCTCTGTTTAAACTTCTTTACAGTGATAGATAACCATGCGTCCGTGGATTTAATTATTACATGCATCGCAAGCGAAAGTATTTTATCTTCCTTTGTTAAGCATTTCGTCTGTTGTCAAAATACATTGATATACTATCTTCTGCTCGATATTCTGCCGACGACGGTGATTTTCTAATGTACATAGAAAATGATTGCATGAGCCAGAGTAGTGTTTTATCTTATGCAAGTCCTCTCGATAAGAAACAAGAATATGCATTGATATTAAACAATTAAAAAAAGTCTATGTAAATAAATGTAAAGATGGACGTGAGTTCTACATTTAAATATTAACATCAGCAATCCGTACATCCTCATCTACATCTTTCCGTCTGCTTTTTCATATTGGTGAAGTTCTTCATAAGTGCTTTGGTGGTCGAGTTCACTAAGTTCTGCATAAGGGGAAGTGACCCTGTTCGATAAGAAAATGATTTTTGCATAAAGACGTAAATCTTAAAGTAAGAATTTATTTAAGTAAAAAATAATTAAATAAGGGAGCAAAACAATACATACACATCTCGCTCACTTTGTTTATCTGCAAATTGAAAAAAAGGTACAAATTACTACCTTTCCGAAAAAGTTTATACTTTTATGCTCCCGTATCGAGAGATTTGTTTTGTCCCGTCTGTATGTTTGTCAACTTTAACCTAGGCCACAACTATTGCGCTGTCAAGGGTAAGTACATATATACCTCTTCAGTCTACATCCCACTCCTGAATATGTAGCAATCGGGGGCATAGTGTTTAACAAACAGATCGTGTTTTAAATCATGTAATACTTTTGACATATTCATTTGTTATCAACACCTTTAGTTACAGATTTCAATTCAAAAATATTTTCCCCTACAGTTCGTGGCATTTGTACACGATTTATATAATAATCTTCCAAAAATATGATTGTAATGGAAACTTTTTACATTACATTCGCTTTTGATAAGTTGATTTCAAATATATTGGTTGTATCTTTTTTACTCCATTCAATATCATAGACATGGAATTGAAACACCATTGGAATAACCGACGTTAAGATTGTAAACAATATCCTGTCTTTATGATAAAAATGATTTTTCCATTACATGTCTTTATTTAATATTATTACCTCCTGTATCCACAACTGAAAATTCGTTGTAATACTCTCTGTCATTGTGGGTGTCCACAACCGTCCCTTTTGCTGCATGAAAAAAAGAAATTGCAGTAAAATACATTAGAATAAGAGGCCCATGAGCTTTATAGGTCACCTGAGCATCATGCAATAACTTTCAAGTGATTACATTAGGTTCATGTTTTAAGCTAGATGCTATGGCATTAACAATTTTGAAGGAGCCCCCAACCCTGGGGCCATTAATTTAACAATTTTGGAAAATGCACTCTTGTCCATCATAACTATGTACTAAGTTAGTTTATTTAATACCCAGAAGCAGAGAAATAAATTTTCAAAGAAGTAATACATTTTCACTATATAATCAATAGAGCCCCGCCCTTACACCAGAACCCCAAACCCTGGGGCCATAAAATTCACAATTTTGTAAAAGGTAGTCTTATTCAACATAACTGTGAACTTGGTTTGTTTATTTAATACCCAGGAGCGGAAGAGAAGATTTTCAAAGAAATTATGTATTTTCACCATAAAATCTATATAGCCCCGCCCTAGCACTAGAACCCCTTTAATGAATTTAACAATTTTGGTAGAAGACTCAATGTTAATTACAATTATTCAAACAGTTTGACTGCTTGATGTCCAGGAGTAAAGAAGAAGATTTTTAAAGATTGCATCAATTTTAGTGGTTTTGGCACCAACCCTCAGGCCCCAGGTTTGGACAGGGACCATGAAATTCACAATTTTTCCCCCTTTACCCATAGATGCTTTATGCCAAAATTGGTTGAAATTTGTTGAGTGGTTGCAGAGAAGAAGCTGAAAATGTTCAAATGTTAACGCACGACGCCGGACGAAAAACGGATAGCAATAGGTCACATGAGTTTACTCAGGTGACCTAAGAATTAGAGCGAGTAATTTTATTGCTTTTGTGGTGAATCTAGCGAAATTACGCAAAAATTAATTCAACGTGTACATGTATATATAAGAATTTACAGTTTTATATTTATAGAATAAAATTAACCCTTTCAAGAGATATATATTGAAAGACACATAAATAACAAAAAAGTATAATAAAAAAAATAACTTACGCTGCATTCTTCTCCAGATGAGATAGTTAATGAGACTTCCCATCACAACAATTAATATAGAGACAACAATGCTTGTAATGGTAATTGTGTAGTCATTCTTACATGTACATCTGCCGCAAGACTCTGCCTGCAAAAATTGGACAAAAAAGGTGACGATTTTTATGTAAAACATTTGCGTCTTTGTCTATTTATTTTTCAATATAAAGTGATCACTTGATCATATACATGTATTTTCAAAAATCAGTCTGATGTTGCCACTTCCTTCGTTTGTATATTTATATCTTACTTCACCTGTTCGTATGATAGACAATGTCCTGATTCGTGATGACAAGTCTGGCTGACGCATTCCGTACTACATCTTTCTTTACAATTGACTCCCCAGTTCGATGGTCTACAGACTACAAAATTAACATGTCCAAGGACCTTAACTCTTTACAACTTACTGAACATTTATGCAACATACACTTAATGTTCACGTCATGGAAATAGAAATTTACCATTTCCCTGCAAGCACCTTATAGCGTGGTACACGTTTCTCTACACTTTAGCGTAAATAATATCATGACGTAGAATTATAATACAAATATAACTTTTCTTATTTTATGAGATCTTTGCAAGTATAAAAATGAATAAAATTGGCATTAAATTAAAGATTTAATGAACTTTTTAAAGTGTGTGAAAATGCGTGATTGCGGGGAAACGGTATATGCGTGATTTTGCGTTAGAAATAGGAAATGGTATATGCGTTAAAATGCGTGACTGCGGGGAAAGGGGTTAACTCACATGGCGCATCAAAATCAATTATCAAAGTGATTTAGGCTCAACTCGACAAAAACCACTTTTAAAAAGATTGTTTTGGATTATCAATATCAATAGATGCAATGAGATGATTATAATATGTATAAAGAAATTTCAAAAGAAAAGTAACCGATAAAAATGTAGTTAACGAACAGTGACCGATTTCTTTAGCACGACTGGAGAAAACACAAAGGAAAACTGTTTTTCTTAGTTAAAGAATTATTCAGGAATTCAAATTAAATTTTCTCATATCAAATGAACATCATTGCTCAGTTGTAATCATAAACATGGTATTGAACGTTATTTCCATTCATTGACGATGACAGTATACGAAAGATAAATATGCTTCAGGCATTTTGACACTTCCTAAATGCGTAAAAAATGTAAGACTGTTTTAATCTCCGTCGATTTGTAATATTCATTAGATTTTGATATTCTTAAAATATGAAGTGAGAAAGCCTTTGCAGCATTTTACACTTTCCTCTTATTCAATTGAGAAATGAAAGAATCCGTAACTTACCCGGAAACAAGGTATATAATTAGATATATAACAGGCTTTTATAGTATATACATGTACATGTAGAGCTTTCAATAAAGTTACAAGTTAGTATTTATTTGATGAAACGAACGTATTATTGCAAAGGCATGTAGAATAAAAAATACCCTTTACACGCACACGAAGTTTTGGATATCAAAACTTAATCGAAAAAGAGTTACTCTACGCATTAAAAGATATGATAAATATCTTATTTCTACAAAATATTAAAAGTATTCATACCATTCGTACAAAGAGACCCCTCGTATCCTACAGCACACCCCTCTGGACATGTACCGTTGACATGGTTACACGTGGTATTGTTCATACAATGTCCACAGCTTTCATTACAGTTATAACCATACTTTCCACCTTCACACTCTTTAAAGGGTGGAACAGTTACTGATAATTCACCTTTATGTACAAACAAGGTCAAATAATTTTTTCTGTTTTAATTTAAACTTACCTTCCGAATATTTTTTTTCTAGTAAAAAGGAAAATAATTTTTAAAATGGAAAGACTGATTATTTAGAACTATTCATATCATTTATTATTTTTTTTATCGTAGATAAATACTACGTTTTACTAATTCAATGAAGTAAATTTTATGAATATTCGATTTATTGATTGATTATATATTGTTTAACGTCCCTCTCCAGAACATTTCACTGATATGGAGACGTCACCATTGCCGGCGAAGGGCTCCAAATTTAGGCCTATGCTCGGACTTACGGCCTTTGAGCAGGGAGGGATCTTTATCGTGCCACACCTTCTGTAACGATGGGCCTCGATGTATGCGGTCTCATCCGAAGGACAGCCCCGTTTAGTCGCCTTTTACGACAAGCAAGGGGGTACTGAGAACCTATTCTAACCCGGTTCCCTACGGGGCTTTTGAATATCGACCATAATAGATTATGAACAAAAAACAAAAAAACGAAAAATGTATTCAGAAGTTTCTGTGCTGCAGTTTATGTGTGCATTATTTGTTTTTTCTTAAGGGTCCTCCACACCATGTGACCTTTGACGTATATAGAGAAAAAATACTTTTACTTCCGGTTTTATTGAGAAAATACATGAACGAATTGTCCTACCACCGTTTGTAAACAATGAACACATGGCATGATGATCACGGAGTGACCGATGAAAAGGATTTAAAAAAAAAAAAAAAGAACAAAAAGAACAACAGTCGTCTTGGATTATGTTAATAAAGATAATAATTCCTAGACAACAGGTACCGGTGGGTATGACGAGAAACGTATAGGTTATTTACACTTTCAGGCTAAATAACAGAGTCTGTTTTTGATGGTTGAACATGTTGAAATTTCGGCACACTAATTTGTACGTTTCAATAATACATTATTTCATTGTGTGTTTATAAATATTGATAAAATAGTGTGCGTTTCTAGTTTTCCTCTTTTATTTTTGTCCAGTTCAGTGGCCAGTATATTACTAAATATAGTATGGTGACTTATGCGGAGACTTGCCAAAGTTTTTGAGTCCTAAGCAACAGGAAAGATAACTCCAAAAAGGAACTTTGATACCAGAGATTTTGAAAATGTTTTTCTACATCAGTGCATTTAATTTTAATTCAATTTTTTGATGTAATCTAATTCATTAATGTTTCTTCTCTACAAAAGGAGTCCTTGTTGATTATTCTCGTGATGTATTTCAGAGAAAATGAGTTTTATGTACTTTTTATATATAAAATAAATTTCTGTAAAAAAAATGTGTTGATCAATAAAATTAAGTTTTTATGGTTATTCTGTGAGCTTAAAAATATACGAAAGGGTAAGACAATTTTTTTTTTGCTAGGTATGAAAACGCCTTGGGAAAAATTTCTTGAAACTTGTGAAATACATGTAATTAATTTAAAAAATCAGTATAAATTTCATTTTAATCCCTGGACAGTTTTTAAAGGTTGAAATGCTTTTTAAAAGTAATGCTCAATAATATGAGAACATAAGCTGTGGGTGTGTGGAGGACCCTTAATTCCCTTTCAAATCATAAGACCATACCAGCATTACAGAGAGATCCGTTGTACCCTTTAGAACATCGCTGTAAACAAGTTCCGTTTATATGATGGCATTTTTCATAATTTAGGCAGTGACCACAGACTTGAATGCAGTTAATACCATACATCCCATCATCACATTCTTTGTATTTGTATAGGTGTTTATTTATAAGATTAATCCATAGTCTTTTATTCTTCATTCTCTCTGAATAATTGTTTATTTCAAACATTTAAGCATATGAAAATTAATAAATGTCTGTCTTTTACCTTTAGTACAAAGCAATCCTTTGTATCCAATCGAACATCCTTGTAAACAAGTACCGTTTATATGGTAACATTGTTCGTCGTCAAAACAGTGCCCACATTTTCTGTTACAGTTCTCACCATACATTCTACCATCACATTCTATGAAAAAGAAATGAAATATATAGTATATCGACAACAATGCAAACGATACTTAAATGCAAACATCTAAAAGGAATCCATTTCATACGCTTTACTTCATGTAGCTGCAGGACTGTAGCTCTCTGCTTGAGAAAATTCGGACAGATAAAGCAGAGAGCTACAGATCCAAGTGTTGTAAAAACCTTCGATTTACGCCGACGATTTTTTTGTCGCTACTTAAGGTATTATTTCAAGTAGTTTAAGCTTTTTCTGGCTTTTAGAATAGTATCCTATAATAAATCATATACTGAACTCTTATATTTGATACTTTGTTTTCCTTTTAATACCTTGTTTACCTTTCAACGGTCCGAAACAGTCCTGCATATTGTTTTGTAATGTCGGTTTAAAAGAGTTCCATTTCGATGTCCGTAACCAAAAACTGCCATTTGTTAGCGTTGAGAGGTAAGTAAATGATCAAGAATTGAAGTTAAATGTATGATTAATTTATAGATACCATTTAAAATTATTTTCAAAGTTGGGGAATGTATGAAATACACGAAAAAATACCCATAGTGAGCGATAAAAAATCGTCGGCGTAAATCGAAGGTGTATACAACGCTTAGATCTGTAGCTCTCTGCTTTATCTGTCCGAATTTTCTCAAGCAGAGAGCTACAATTCTGCAGTAACGTTTTACTTCATGGATTTTTTTATTTTTAATTTTTTTGCTCCTAATTGGTCGATATTTTAATTTATTGCGTAAATTTCTCCCATGAAAAAACTTCGTACTTGTTGGTAATTTTATTACGTTTAAAACATTTAATGTATCTTTTTTCATTAATAATAAATCTATTTATAAAGTTTCATAAATGTATAATAGTACCCTTGAGAAGCAGCACATTAGAAAGGGAGTTTCGTGCAACAAATACATGTATATTAAAATATCTATAATTAAATTATTCATAGTTCAACTTCAAGATGAGAATTTTGACATTCACACAAATAATCGGAATTCCCATCCACCCGTGAGTAGAAATTGAAAAAAAATAACTACAGTCTGCATTTCCTAAAATCCATTTAATCATTGTCAAAAAATGAATAAATAAACAACATTTGTAAAATTACCACAGAGATCTCAAATTTATTTTATTATGATAATTAAATGTTCTTTATATTTTAGATTTGAAGCCTTGCAAGTATTTTATTTAAAATATTGCAGTAACTAAACAAAGTAATATTTTCGTCTTATCTAAAAAACCGTTTATCAGGTCTATCGTGTGATGTGTTTATCGTATTTTGCGTGTATCGTATTTTGCGTTTATCGTATCGTGCGTGTATCCTATCTTATCGTGCGTGTATCCTATCGTAATGTGTGTGTATCCTATCATATCGTGCGTGTATTCTATCGTATCGTGTATTCTGTAAAGAATAACAATGCGTGTGCTGTACAATATAGATTACCTTCAGAACAAAGCACCTTTTTATATCCAGCTGAACATCCTTGTAAGCAGCTTCCATTAATATGATTGCACTGTGTGTCATTAAGACAATGACCGCAGCTTATATTGCAGTTATAACCGTACATTCCACCGCTACATTCTTTAAAATAAAGAATTAGTATAATTAGTGTTTTTATAATGTTTTTTCATATAGTTTTTGTTGATATGAGACAATATTAGATGGTATCATCAGACTGTTTGCAGCTCTACCAAAAAAGAGAGAAAAAACGAATTCATTCCATGTGTTCAGTAGAATATATTCAATTACAGATTTCATAATTAAAGCAATGGCTTTTTCTACAACAACAGGATAATTACTTACCAGTCTTACAAAGAGAATCTGTATATCCAGGAGAGCACCCCTCTAAACAGGTTCCGTTTTCATGGTAACAGTCAGCGCCGCCATAGATACACTCTCCACAGGTTTGATTGCATTTCAAGCCGTACCTCCCATCGTCACATTCTGCCAAAAATTTCAGAAAGATTTCAGGAAATGATGGAAGTTATTCCTTTGTATATTTGTTTTCAATCCTGAGTCAAAGTGTGTTTGCGATTAGCTTGTATTTTTACTAATGTGACAAAAGCACAGACAAAAATTATCTGTAATTGTAAGGACAGCAGGATATAAACAAAAAACATTTTAGATAACTTCACATATTATTGCAGGGATCTTCAATTGCAATTGTTCCTCAAAGTATCTAACCTTTCTTACAAAGAATCCATTCGTATCCTGCAGAACATCCTTGTAAGCAAGAACCGTTGACATGGTGGCACTGTGTATCATTTAAACAAAAACCACATGTTTCACTGCAGTATGTTCCGTACATTCCACTGTCGCATTCTAAAAATAGTTCCATACATGAAACATACGGAGATAACGTACAGCATTCAAGTACAACAGTAAAAAAAATCAAAATAGGAGCAGAGCAAACATGGACCTCTCAAACATCATGTCGAGACAGGTGACATGAAGGAGTGCGCATCGCCTAGCGACAGGTAACACCCGCCATTTACTCCCTGTCATGATCGGGAAATAACGGAAAAATCCGTCGCCAATTCAGTGTATAAATAATGGACTAACGATAAGTATTGAAAACATAAGTCAGTATTTCACTCAATGATAAATTGTATTCACTGACAAGGTCATTGTATTGACAAAAGAACTTACGAAATGATGACTTTAAACGAGACTGCTAATATTCCTGTTTCATAAATTTTGTTCATCAATAATTTACCTTGTTTTAGAAATTGTTCATTCGTAGAACATGTTTTGCAGAACGAATCAACTGAGATATATAAACTTATTAAATTCCGTTTGCAGGCGATGAAGGTATACTGCTGCATAAGCAATGAAAGTTGACGATAGAAAAGTTAGTCATCACATTTATCACAGAGCTTAGTTGTTAGATTACGATTAACGTCTTTTTCAAGTAAAATATTCAAGTATTAAAGAATGTGTCACACTCTATAATATCTTTTATCTCAAGGTTACCAGGGTATATCGTATCGAATAATGAATGGCAATTACAATTCTTAATTGAAAATACGTCGTCGATATATCTAAATGTCGAGTTGAAGGTCACAGCAAGTTTTTTTCTTCTTTTCACGCATAAGATTCTGGACAAAATTTGTTTCATATGAATACAAAAATATTAATACCGCTAATACCGGAGGTACCCTTGAAAATTCCAATAATAAAACTTACTTTCTTTACAGAGGGGTGCCTTATATCCAGGGGTACAACCTCCGCTACATGATCCGTCAATGTGGCTACAATAAGCACCATTTAAACAATGTCCACAGGTTTTGTTACATTCCAAGCCAAACCTTCCACCGTCACATTCTTTGAAATAAGTGTTTTCTTCAAATCATTATCAATTACTGTACTTCTTATTACTAAGTATTTTTTTTTTTCAATTGTGCAAGTATTTATTGTTTAACGAATAAAAAGTTAATAATATATTAGAAATATGATTACTACAAACAATTCCTAAATGTTAACATATTAAATGTCAATTTGATAACATGAACATGTTTAATCCACATGTAACAATATGTTTTCTACTTCAGCATTCATAATGGACTTTTACGAGAAGCACTGACTTTTATAGTTGACTATTTACTTGGACATTTAAACATTCACATCTACGGAGGTACAGAATTGATAATGGAAAAGAAAACCTTTCTACTGGTCATGGTAATGGTGTAAGGGGCACTTATATGTGAAAGCCTGGATTTGAGGGTATGACGGTTGTCGTTTTCTTCAAGGACAACTTATCTATGTATTGAAATAGCCCGTTATTTTCGTTAAATTATGTTTGAGCTTAATTATTATATGGTAAAAGAGTCTCCGTACACTGTCCTAATGTAAGAGTAATTCGTCAACTGTAAAAGTCAGCGCTCCTCGTAAAAGTCCAATAGGATAAATGTTTTTCCCTGAAAACTTCATACGTTTTTGACATAAAGATCCTTCGTATCCCGCGGAGCACCCTCCAGTACAGAAACCATTGATGTGATGACATTGTGTGTTATGTAAACAGTGTCCACAACTGTGATTGCAGGCAGGTCCGTACATTCTACCGTCACATTCTTTAATGTAAATATAAAACGATATGTTAAATGAAACACCCTGTCCATACCATCAATTAACGCTCACAAAACGATAACATCTTAAATGATACAACAAACATATAAATAACTATTTTTTTTAAAATAAAATGTATATGTATTAAGTATTATGGTCATGATTTCATTTTTCAAAAGAAGAAAAAATACAAAGTAAAGGAAACGAGAATTCTTATACCATTTCAAGGAATACACGTGGAGCATCTGTCGTACATGTATTTTTGGTAAATTAGGTCAGGTAACCTCTGTAGTAAGAGTGAATTGGTCACAACAGTTTGCATCGATAGAAAGGATATTCCAAAGGAAGCACACGTAAAAAATGTCAGTTCTAGCTCCTTTCTTTCAATAGTTACAGTGCAGGTTTAAAGATGCACGGACACAAATTTGAAGTTTATATTTTCTGTATAATATCATGACATATATATTTATAGCATTTCACACAAAAATATATTAAAATTTTATTTCATCTTAAAGTTATTGAAACTTTAAATGTTTGGATGGGTTTGATTGACACATCCTTGCACTCTCACATATTTCTAATTACATTACTTTTATTCTTAATACTTAGGAAAAGTTGCAATCTTGTTGTTTAATACTTGTTGTTTAATAATGAAAAATATTTAAACTTTAATCCAGAAAAATAATTATATTCAGAGTAGAAATGATAGGAACCAAAACCCCTTCTGTTGTGTACAAAGTTTAGTTGATTGATCAAACCCATGAATTGTACACAATTTTTGTAATCAGGGCACGAGATCTATTATTCTTGATGTTTACGATTCACCCGGAGCGTTGAATTGGTAAAGTCCGCTCACCACAACTGCACTGACTGACAATATACTGTGTGTATGCTTTGCTTTCGAACATTTCTACTCTGAATTTTCTAGATTTTTTTTTTTTATTTTTCATTTATACACAACAAGATTGCCAATAAAATGAAAATCTGTGAAAGTGCAAGGATTTATTTTTAGATGAAATAAGATTTTTAATATATTTTTGTGTGAAATGCTTTTAAAATATATAAGTATAATATTATATAGAAAATATTAACTTAAAACCTGTGTCCATGCACCTTTAAAGATTTAAATAGACAACCAAAGGTTTATCTCCAAAATCATTTGCCCCAGTATCCTCGATTCCGAATGAATACCAAAAATATTATATAAATATAATCCCAGAAAAAATTCATAAGAAAATAAAAAAGATTTTTAAAAAGTGAAAATTAGGGGAAAAATAGATTGGAGGGAAGTGTAGAACAATAAATGAATCAGTCTTTAACTTCCAATAAAGCGCATTTTGTTTTATATGAATAATTTATGTATTTACATTCACTTACCCCGACTACAGTGTTGTCCTTTATAACCCGGATTACACTCAAAACAGTTTCCCGTAAACATATTACATCTTTGCTCAAGACAGTTTTCTGGACATAATTGGTCACAATACTGGCCGTAGAACTTAGATTCTGGGCACCCTGTTAGATGCAAAGAATACATTTCTTGTCTTTAAAGGAAAATGTGTAAATAATTTTAGTACTTTTTAAACGACGATACTATATGAAATTAAAATTATTGTATATTTTAAAAATTATTGTATACTTTAAAACTCACCGTAAACTTCCAATTCACACAAATCATTATATGCATATTGTGAGTAGTAACTTGGATACGTCACTTCGGGTCTCCTTTCGTTGTAATATATAACATACCGGCCGTCATAAGGACAGTTGATTTTCTGGTCTTCTGTTGGTGTACCGCTTATTTGTTGCAATTCATGAAAACAAAGACAACCACTGTCTTTATCGGTACTGTTTGAAACGTAAACATAAAATCCAGCAAATCTTTTGTGGTAAACACTAGGGCCTAAACATATAAAAATGTTTTTTCATTGCCATTTGTTGGTGTTTTCGTAGTTTATTTTAGATTTGTTGTATATGAAATCAAAGTAAATCAGGGATTTTTAAATTGATTTTCTGTATAATAGAAACAGCAACATCACGTTGAAGTTTTTTCTAGGCATAAATGTAAAAAATATGAGGCAATACACTGAAATTATAATGCACTTATTCAAATATGACTATGTCAAAATATTCTAATTGAAATATTTTAATATCTCACATTCTTCAAGCTAAAACGTCTGAAATAAAATTGGGAAAAAGAGCATCCACCAAGTTGGATCTGTTGACTCGGAGGAGTAAATATCTTATGTCTAACGATCACACCCGTAGAGTCAGTCTTCTTTGTCAGTTGTAAAAAAATTATAACAAACAATTTCCTTACAAAAACAATTGATAAGCTAACACAATATTCCTCTTGACGATTGTTCGTGTTTTGTACCAAGGTCAGTTCAAATGAACTTTTAGAAATGAAACGTGAAATTATAGTAACAAGAGGCCCATGGACCTTATAGGTCACCTGAGCATCATGCTATGGCATTCACAATTTTGAAAGAGGCACCATTGCTCATTATAACTATACACTTAGCAATTGCTAAGTTTGGTTATAAAGATTTAATGTATTTTCACTATATAATAAATCAATAGAGCTCCGCTCGAACACAAGAACCCCTGACCCTGAGGCCATAAAATTTAATTTTTGTTGAGGCACTCTTGCTTATCATAACTATGTACTTAGTAAGTTTATGTAATACCCAGAAGCACACAAGAAGATTTTTAAAGAATAAATGCATTTTCACTATATAATCTATATAGCCCCGCCTTAGCACTAGAACCCCTGACCTTGGGGCCATGAATTTCATAATTTTTGTAGATGACTCAATGCTCATTACAATCATGCCAACAGCTTGGCTGCTTGATATCAAGGAGCAAAGAAGAAGATTTTTAAAGATCGCACTAGTTTTAGTGATTTTGGCCCCACCCCTCAGGCCCCAAGGGGGCAGGGATCATGAAATTTATAATTTATGTTCCCCTTCACCCATAGATGCTTTATGCTAAAATTGGTTTAAATTGGTTGAGCGGGTGCAAAGGAAAAGCTAAAAATGTTTAAATGTAAAACACACGACTCACGACGCACACCATACACCGCACGACGCCAGACGAGAACGGATAATAATAGGTCACCTGAGTTTACTCAGGTGACCTAAAAAACATTCCTTAAGGTAGGTCGCGGGTTTACGGCATAAAAATTCTTACGAGAAAACATGTCCTGAAAATTTGATCTAATGTTCCTTAGAATTCACAGCGTATTATCTGCAATTTTCATTAAATTTGCCTACGTAGTTTCAATGCTATATTACTGTAAACGCGGTATTGTTGTTAGTACTTTTTTTACGCTTTACTATTGAAATGTATGAAAAATGACGTTTTTAAGCCAATTTTGTGAAAACAGTTTCTTTTAAAAAGGTTGGATAACTTTTTAAAGACGTAGACGAATTAGTCAGGAATATCAAAATGTCAAGTTGAGGTAAAATCAAAACTATTAATATAAAAAAATCAATATGTCTTCTCGCTAGATTTTTTGCTAAATAATTTCAAAATTTTCTTTTATACTGCTAAAATGTTGCGTTTATGACGTTATTAAAATTTTCAACGTCATTTGTTGAACGTAGATACGTTTAGAGTACGATGAAAGATTCAAAAGGCGATATAGATACAAAATTTAAATTCATTCATCTTTTAATTTTTGCGGAGACATATTAGGTTGCCCAACAACTTATTTTCACTAGTATTATGAAATTCATTTTCTGATCACAAAGTCAGAATGATCGGTATAAACATTCCTCATGCATGAGAATTAACACACAGCGACAACAACGCGAGTGTTAAAATATTAGTACCTGTATTTTTAGGAAATTCATGGTCAATAGGATTTCAGACATAACACAAAGAATTGATCACTTTATTCTAAAACGGTAAGAAAAACATCCCGATACTGAGGAAATAAGCGGGGGGGGGGGGGGGGGGTACCTGCAATGTTCTTACGATATTAGTCGCAAGCTATAGTGAAGGGTCCATAATCTCAAACATTTGTTAATATCGAATTATCTGAATCAAAGGACCATATATGATTCGAGCCAATTTTGGCCCCCTAAAAATCAACATTTTAGAATGATTTTCAGATATGTTTAATTAATATTCATTTTGTAAAAGAGATTATATCAGGAATATTTCCAATATATTTTTCCACATTTATATGCAATCATTGGTTGTAAATAACATGAGAAGTAATGCTTATTTTGCTATCTAACAGAAAATCTAAAAATATGCCTTTTTCATGATGTTTATTCTTATGGGAAACATAGAGCGCAGTGAAGAACATGCATAATTTTTCTGTCAGTAATTAGTATTGGATAGATACATCTTTGGTAAAAATATAAAGTCTGTTCTAGGCTGCGCTCTATATTTTCTGGAAGAAAAACTGCTTGAAAATAAGCAGTTTTGTATAAAATATGCTAAAATGGCGGGAAAACGTGAACTTGTGATGTCATATTTCTAAAATATTGGCATTTTCACCAAATTGAAAATGACAAATAAAGGTGGCATGTATAGCTGTTCAAATTAAAGCTATATAAAAAGTAAAATTAAGATGTTCATTTTAAGGGGCCATTTGAGACACTTATCATATATTGCTCTTTCAATACACAAAATGTAAAACACTTGCATTTAGCTTATACACTTTGAGCTTTTGTTATAAAAAAAATGTGTAAAAAATACCTGTAAATTGTTTACAGTGTCTTATAAGTCTTACAGTCCAGGCGTTTGAATAAATTTGATTTTTAAATGCATTTCACAAGTTATTAGCCAACAAAACAAGGCGAGTGCACAAGATTTAAATACATAACAATCAAACAATAATAATGATGATAATAAAAAAAAAGGAAAATAAAAGTAATTAAATTAAACCTGTCTTTAGTGAGGAGGATTGATCCATCCTGAAAAGTATAAACATATTTACGCCCTGGATTTGGTTGGCAGTCACTGTGCAACACGCGTACGCATGTTCCTCTGAGTTTCAAATAACGTGCGCACATATAACCCTCAAGTTTGCCGCTAAGCAATTTTTATTCATGATAACTTTCTTTCTGCAAACCATCTTTTACGCTTCAAATTATTCTGACTTTAAACAGTTTAGTTACACTACCTTAACGACCTATAAAAAGTACAGGCTTAGAGCAACATGCCAAGTTTCTTTAAATGTAACTCGAGGTACTTCCCTTGTCATTGGTCTCAGAGATAATTTTTTGTTTGAAAACCTGTCTGATTGTTCACACAAATACACTGAAGTTAAAAGTAAAAATATGCTCAAGTTTCCTAACTGACATTGTATTTGTAGTTTATGGAGAACAGGTTTTCAAGCAATCATGCCCAATGCTTAAGGCTTTTTAGTAGTTTTATTATTTATTCATATGAAGCATAATTCTATAAACGTTTGTGACCTCCAAGTCGACATTTAGATATAAGGTATTGACAATGCACTTCCATTTATATGGTCGACTCGAACTTTCCATATGATCTCGAAATAAAAGACACAACGAAATACGAAACGTTTGTTTTAATAGCCAAAACCTTGATGGTAACTTACCACAGTAACTTAATGATAAACGTTGTGTCTTCGACTTTTCTATCGCAAAATTCCCTTTATTTATGTGGCAATATGCCGTACTACCCCTATATTGAGTTCATTCGATGCGCTGACGCAAGCCTAACTTCCGAAAAATTTCTAAATCGAGACAAGACTTTGGCACATAGGTTAATGAAATAAGGATAAGTTTTGTTTATATCATCATTTCGGAAATTGTACTATCGATATAAAAATGTTGGCAGCATATACAGTCTGTGCATATAATAAGATTTTAAACTTTAAAGTTTGAGTTAAGTGAAGCCAATCATTTACAAAACTGAAATTCATTTTATAAAAATCGATTTCATACTTGCAAAATTATCAGTCCTATAATAGATGTGGATGTGACTAATGCTGACTATTTTCTCTAGATCTACTCTCCACTCTGCTGTTCGCTGACTAGGGCCTGATATTGTACACTGTCCTCCAATAGCTCCACGGTCGGAATATCTCCCGTCGACTGCTTTCCCTGCTCCCCATGCTACTGGTTTATCTGGCCAATTGTGTTCCTGCCAGGCAGGTCTCCTCAAGGCTAAATTCACTTGTAAACAAAATGACAATGTGTAATATATTTTTTAAGGTCAAGGATAAATCAACGTAGATTAAGGAAAGGTATTATTTATGGAAAAAAACTGATTACAAAGAGGAAAATATGAAACAAAGGAACAAACACTTTAATACATTTTATTTAATTACTTACAGTAACTACAGTGTGACCCTTGATACCCTGATAAACAACCTTTCACACAGTCACCAGTGACGGCGTCACACTGCTGTCCCTGACAATTGACTGGACATGTTTGATTACAATATTCTCCATAATATCCAGGGATTGGACAGCCTATGTAACAAATCATTATTATTGGTAACTAATGTACTTATTTGAAGCTTTATCATTCCACATAATTTCTATTAAGGCAGTAATGCAAGACATTGTCGCGGAAATTTCGCACATATCATGTAGGATGTACATGCAAGTTACATATACAGTGTATCTGCTGGAACTCACCATAAACCTCCAATTCACAAAGTGCGTTGAATGCAAACTGAGAGTAGTAGGTAGGATAGACCACACCACTAAGACGTTCATTGTAGTATATAACATATTGTCCATACACGGAACAGTTGATCCTCTGATCTTCTACAGGTGTACCGCTAACAGTCTGTAATTCGTGGAAACAGAGTATGCCGCCCTCTTTTGAAGTCGTGTTGGAGACATAGACGTAAAATCCAGCAAATCGAAAAGCGTATGAACCTGCATACAGAGGTACAAATTCAATATCATATATTCTCGATCAATGAAGTTTCTTCTGAACCAATAATTTAATAATTCATTAAATTATTAATTTTTACAATTATGAAAAACGTTATGGATGTGATATCAATACGAGCATCTACATGTATCTTATACCTAAAACGCATACCAGGATTATTATCCGTTCTGTAGAAGATATTGATATAACTGATGCTGACCACACTCCCTAGATCTACTCTCCATTCTGCCGTCTGTTGTTTGTCGGCTGATATTGTACACTGATTACCATTTGCTCCGCGGTCAGTATATTTGCCATCCACCGCCTTGTCTGCTCCCCATGGCAGGGATTGTGAAAAAGCGGTCCTCTGCCAGGCAGGTTTCCCTAATGCTAAATTGTCTAAATAAAGAGATGAAATTAATTAATTTTTTTTTGGAATTAGAAGTTTAAAGTATGCAAAGTTAAAATATCTTCTGCAAAATAACAGTAAATATATTTCATTCTTCTTGTTTTTTAACATTATGAAGTATCCTGAAGTGTTTAAGTATGTTTAAAGAAGAACTTAAACACGCCTTATTCATTCGTTGTTTTATTTCTTTTAAAAAATATATAATTAAACTAATCCTGAATATCTCTTAATGATACCGCAATGATCAAAAACACTCCCCTATATTTTTATTCATGTCAAATGCTAAATCTTTAGAGGATTAAGTTATTTTGATTTAAAAAAATGTTTTATACATTGCAAATAATACATGATCAGGCCTGGGGCCGTAACACTTAGATGAGCTCACGTTTGATCTTAATTTTACTTTTTCCAGATATTAATAATATGAAAACGAGACTGCAATGAAAAGTGAGCTTGTCTAAGTTTCATGGCCCCCAGACCAGATATCAAGGATAATATATATTTAACAAAAGTTTACTTAAAATTTTTACAATCTTACTATATGCACAAGTACACGTTGTACTCAGGATAAGTTGGAGGATACAGCGAATCATTCTACTCATTCTGAAAAATTATAATATAAGCAATAACAAGATACGACCGGGCAATATTGCTCACTCACACTTGTTGAAAAAAAAACAAAAAATCATTTTAGTATTGAAAAGTTAACTGGATCAAACTTGAATTTACCTCAACCTCAGGATGCATCCAAAGAGATATTACAAACCATTGCTTTGCTATTTCTAAGCAAATTTAAATCAATTTTGGCAAAAAAGTGTAGCTAAAAGAAAACATATATTTAGAAATTTATGGCCCTTTCTCTTAACGGCCTTTGGGGTTTTGATAAAACCAGCAAAATTATTACAATCTTAAGATATATTTCTCGATATCAAGCGATCAAACATGATTGTAGTAAACACCGAGCCTTAAGCTAAATTATGAAACTCATGGCCCCAACATCAGGTATTCACGAGTTATACACTGGGAAAAGTACGGAAGCCCATTTAGGACCTATCAAAAAATATTTTTGAATTCGTTATAACGATTTTTAGAATTCGTTATAACGAATTTAATTTGTTATAACAGATTTTTAGAATTCGTTATAACGAATTTAATTTGTTATAACAAATTTATTGAATTCGTTATAACGAATTTAATCTTTTATTACAGATTTGTTGAATTCGTTATAACCAATTCAAGAATTTGGTTATAACGAATTCAACAAATCTGTAATAACAGATTAAATTCTAAAAATCGTTATAACGAATTCAAAAATATTTTTTGATAGGTCCTAAATGGGCTTCCGTACAAAAGTGGCTGGTTGATTGATTGTTTTATTGTTCAACGTTCCATTTTTCGCTCGATTATATAGAAATGTCACAGTATGGCGGTGAAGGGCTTCAAATTTAGGCCATTACTCACTCAGGGCTATTGAGCAGTAAGGGATCTTTATCGTGCTAACGCCTACAGTTACACGGGACCTACTTTTTTAAGGTATTATCCAAAGGACCCGTTACTTTCACTTTTAATGTCGAGCGCTTGGCGAAGGAACAATCACTACCTATATTTACGTCTTAGGTTTGACACGGCGCCGCGAACAAATATTGAATAAGTGCATCCCGATCACGATTATTTTTGATGAGCAAAGTGCAAAGTGCATGTGCTTCTTCAAAAATTGTTAATTTATTCCCATTGGGTCAGGGGTTCTGGTGGTAGGACGAGGCTCTCTTGATTATATAGTGAATTGGATTATTATTTCAAAAATGTCTTCTTTTCCTCAGGGTATTAAACAAATTGAATAAGTACATAGTTATGATAAGCAATGTTGCCTCTTCCAAATTTGTGAATTTACCGCCATGGCCCTTGGATCAAAAGTTCGACCATAAGTTCTGGTGTTACAATTAGGGCGAGGCTCTATTGGTTCTAAAGTGAATACGCATTTATACTTCTTAGGTTCGTGGTACTAATTTAAGGTAGGATTGTTCTCTCATTTCTTGTATTTAAAAATTAATGAAATTTTTACAGAATCAAGAGGACAATATCACTAAGTGATGGTATCAGTGAGATTAAATTTGACCGATTAATATTAGAGGCAAGGTCAGGTCAAAGTCACTACCTTTTTTCTGGACATTAAGAATAAAAAATTACTGTTTCCAATCATGCGATCCCTACTTGTAATTCAAAAGATTGAAAATTTTTCTTTTTGCATAAAAAGATACAACCATATAGGGCCTATAAGATGATATTACCAAATTGACATGAATAATTTAAATAAAATGGATATTTTCTAATCCGAATTTCCTCTACTTTTCTTAAATTCTTAGGATTTATTGTTATTTTTATATGCTTCCTATATTCAACTTTTTCCAATTTTCACATATAGTAAAGTTGCCACATAAAGGTACAAAATGATACGAAAACTAATCGTTTTGATCGTTTACTAAGAGAGAAATAACACTTTTTATGGGTTATTGGCTCAAATCTGTACTTAGATTTGAAGCATTTAAATGCCAACATAGTTCTAGTATGTGTGAAAACTCTGATTTATTTGATATATTTTGAAACTTTAGTCCCTTATTATTAATATAACTTACATTTGAGAATTTAGCCTAGTCTTTGATTGCGTAAAAATTATAACTAAATTCAATGTTCTATGATAATTTTGAGAGGCAGAAAAGAAGATATTTTCATACGCAACCATTCCGCCAAAAATATAGTCCCTGCTAGTTTTCAAACGCAGTTTACCATTTCTTTGTAAAAGTTATATAATTCTGATGAGGAAAGAAAAATATGGTCTTTTAAATCTCTTACATCGAAATATATAAGACATATCAACAAATGTACTTTAAATATTCTATCTAGTCAGAAACCAGAGAAGAATCCTACCTTAACAAATTAAGTGAATTATGATAAATAAGGATGTTTCTTTCAAAATGGGGAAATTTTTTTGCCCCACTGTAGGGAGTTCTATTGCTCAACAGATTTTATAGTGGAAAGACGTTTTTTTATAAAAATATTCTTTTGAGTTGCTAGTTATGAATCAAAACGCTAAACGTGTAACTATGATGAGCATGAAAGCTTCGTTCCAAGTAGTGAATTTCGTAACCCTTTACTAAGATGTTCTGGTTTAAGGGTCGGCCTCTTGATAAAATTGTGAAAATGATTTTATTCTAAAATTATCTTATCTGCTTCTTTGTATTTAACAGATAAACAAAGCCTTAAGGTAGAACCTGTGTCGGAGAAGTCTTTTCATAATTTTCATTTTGAATTCTCTTGAGAAAAGTTATTCCCCGTTGCCATTTACTCTAAAAAATTAATCAGTGTAATAACTTTTTGAAAGATTAATATAATAAGATATTTTTGCAAGAAAGTTTATTTTTGAATACAAAAAGTAATTTAATAGTGTGTTTTAATGATGATCGGGAAGACTTGTAAGTAAAATAAATAAAAGACAAAAATATTTTGCCTTTTCAAAAGGTCTTCAAAGATGAAGAGATGTCAATGCAAGATGAAGATATTAGAGGTTTAAATAGTAATTTATGTAGTACAGAAGCTCTGATAATTATCTCATGGGCAGTATAGTGATAGTGATAAATATAGAAAGATCTGAACCTTATTTATGAATTATTTTTGAATACTATATTTATTTGTTAATCCTGGTCATCCTATTACCCCTGGTTCCGGTCAATAAAATTCATCTAATTTAATTTAATACTTCGTGGTTACTCTCAGTTGTGTGCCCATGAAGGCCGCTGGTCTTGTTAAAGATATATTTTGTATATATTCATGTATCACTTTGACGAACTGTTGTAAACACGTCTTACATATACCCAAAGTTGCCATGATTTGTACAAACTTCATATTCTACACTACCTGAGAACATTTTATATTGATATGTCAATTCATGAGGAAGTTGTTATTGAGCAGTTTTTTTAAAAATATTTGATATCCTTTCCATTTATGAAGGCATTGACGTGAAAAGCAGGAAAAAGGCTAAAACTTTTTTATAAATGTTAATGTATTGCGTTGACCAAAAATGTGAATATTTATCGAATATTTAGTATCAAAAATAGAGCACTATATGTGAAAAAACCCCATAAGATTTGAAACTTGATAAATTACATTTTGCATTTTAAATTTGTAACATAAAAAAAATTACACCCTAGTTTAATCAAAAACATTTTTATCTTACCTTTGCAAGCATACATCTCTTCGGCAGAGGTTAAAAAAAATAAATAGATTTTGGAGCTTTCCCTTACTGATTGAATCAAGTTGTTAACCAGGAAGTTAAATGAAAGATAGATAAGGTATACACATGTAGTTTTACATTTAAACGTCTTAATACAAGTGCCTCTTCAAGTCTGAGCACTTGACTGCGTCTTATTTAAAGAGAGCTGATTATGTTTATTCAAGTAGTAGTAAGTTATGATTATAAAAAATAAAGACAACTGTATTGAAGTACAGGCAATCATTAACGTTATTTTCAACCCCTGTTTTTGTACTATTGAAGAATGGATTCTAAATAAGTTTAATATTCATTGCTGTTTTGATAGACAAGCAATACTATTTGGTAAATATGATAATATGAATGTTTACAGATTTCAAAAGCTTTTAATACTTAATTAAAGTAATTAATTTTTGCTAGTAAATATATGAATGTTCCAAAAATAGATGCTAAAGCTGTATTTAAGAGGATCACAGATAGAATTTTTATTATAACATTTTTACTGATTGTAGATATGAGGAATATGAAAGGCATTGGCAAAATATTTGCGATGCATTGTAAGCAACAGAGTTACGTATGCATGTATATATACATCCAATAACTTATTTGAGTGATTTTATATCTTTATTTTTGTATTATTTGTAATAGAAGAATTTTTTTCTTGCTGACCCCCCCCCCTTTTTTGTCTTTTTTCTACAAAACAACGTTCACATTCTATAAGTATAACTATGTATTTTGTAGATCCGATGTAATTGTATACCATAAGATGAAAATACCCTACATATACATGTGAAAGTATTATATCAATAAAAAGATTAGAATGTTAGAATAATTTTGCTGAACAATTATGGAGTATTACAATTCATATATTTGTGGAAGCATATACACGTAGGATGCATAAACACAGGGATTGTTTATATTTTAGGCAGTGCATCTAAATCATAGTGTATGCTATCAAATAAACCTATCATGTATAGCGATCTCTGTATCATTTTAAAAAGAAAATTAGATTTCAAATGCTAGTCTACGGCATTTTTTTAAATACAATAATTTAAGGGTTTTCTATAATTTTTACAATTTTTTTGTTAACGAAAACCGAATGTCTGATTCGACAACGTGTAGACAATATATGAATGTTACTTTTGTAAGTCAATGTATTTAATAGGATAAGGTTGAATTTTATCTAGTTTTTTTTATAATAAGTACCTGGAGTTCGAGTGTATTTATGCAATGATGTAAAATTCTATCCCCCCTCCCCCCATAATCGCTTCACTCCACAATGAAATGATCGTATGTATATGTTAAAATGTTTTCTATTGTTAATAATTTGACTATGTTTCAATCTTTGTACGTGTATAATTCGCGGTATTTGCTAAGAACAAGATCTTTGAACTTTTTGAAAAATTTGAACAAAGAATATTTTATACAAGATTACTTGTAATAAAAATAAAATCAGTCTAATTAGTCACGGAAGTTAAAATAAGTACAAATAAAAGGACAAAGAGGTCATGACCGAATTTGTCTCTTATTTGAAACTGTAGAAATCAAATGACAGCTAAAGAGCTTTAGTTTGCAGTTAAGAACTATAAATATTGTAAGAGGGTTTCAAAGTTGGGTATGTTATCGATTTTTTTTTATTTATTCTAATAGAATTTGGTCAAATTTGAGGCTTTTTTCACTTCGGGAAACACAGAGCACAAGCTTGCCTATGTAAGACTTCTCTATTCATAAGAAGCATATGTTTTGAAACAAGAAGTGCTATATATTAATAGAAAAAAAATAGAGACAACTGCATTTAGGTAAACAAAATTAATAACATAATTTTGACCCCTGTAAGACTTACATGTATGTAAATTCTAGAAAAATAAATAAAGGGGAATACACTGAATATTTCAGGCTTTAGAAGTCCCTTTGTTTGGAAATTACTACATACTTTTACAGAAACCAAACACGGTTAATTGAAATCGAAGATAACAAAAGGGAAGTAAACAAGAGGACCATGGGCCACATTGCTCACCTTAGAAGCTTTGACCATTCTGTTTTCTACCAGACTTCCCCCTTGTAATACATAATGCATCCCCACTCTACCCCACTTATCATAATTTAGACATTTTGAAATCTACACTACCCAAGGATGCTTCCATGTGCACATAAGTTTAAGCTTTTCTTGCCCAGTGGCTCTTGAGTAGAAGATTTTCAAAGATATTTCCTATATATTTCTATGTAAAAATTTGATTCCCCATTGTGGCCCCGCCCTTCCCTGAGGGGTCATGATTTGAACAATTTAGAATCTACACTACCCCGGATGCTTCCAGGTAAGTTTCAGCTTTTCTGACCCAGTGGTTCTTTAGAAGAAGATTTTCAAAGATTATTCCTATATATTTCTATGTAAATCTTTAATCCCCATTGTGTCCCCGCCTTTTTCTCGGGGGTCATGATTTGAACAATTTAGAATCTACACTACCCTAGAATGCTTCCACAAGTTTCAGCTTTTCTGACCCAGTGGTTCTTGAGAAGAAGATTTTTTAATGACCCCAACCTATTTTTGTCTTTTCTTGATTATCCCACCTTGTGAGAGAACTTGGCCCTTTATTTTAACAATTTAAATTTCCCTTCACCCAAGGATGCGTTGTACCAAGTTTGGTCAAAATTGGCCCAGTGGTTCTTAAGAAGAAGTCGAAAATGTGAAAAGTTTAAAGACAGAGAGACAGACGGACAGGCAGACGGACGGACGGACGGACGGACAAAATATGATCAGAAAAGCTCACTTGAGCCTTCGGCTCAGGTGAGCTAAAAAATAAAGCTAGAACGCAGTGCAGAAATCAACACGGAAGGAAAGTGAAGAAATAAAGAGATAATTTTCATATCACAAAGTAACAAAAACTCATTCAATGTGAAATTTAAAAGGAAACATTTTTGAACTTTTAATAGGGAGCCTGGAACATGACACTGCTATTGACATACTGTCTTGTTAAATGTGATATCAGTACAAATCTTTGAGAGAAGATAATTATTCTTATACAGCATACACTGTACATATCTGTGTGTTGAAACCTCTTAATTAAATACTTTCACGATAAGAAATTACAATATACGAGACATGTAACACTTTGTCCTTTCTCTGGACTAATTTTTTTTAAGTTACTGCATAAAAACATTCATAAATTTTAAAATAACGTTTAGAGATGAAACATACAATTTTTTCCTTGTCACAGCTTACCAATTTACTCTCCATGGTATTGAATTATATAGTGTGCATATATCATATATTCATATAGTTGTCAACCAAAAGGAAAAACTCTACCAACCGTGCTTGCTGTGCTGTTGAGAAATCAAGTAAATATGATGATACAAAAATAGGGTAACGCCATTGAAATGAGCATGATTAGGTACAATATTACCCTTTTTTTAAGGCAGTATAATAAAACAGAAGTTTTGTTTCTTTATTTTAATCTAGCAAATCATTGATACATATACGGTTCAGAAATCCAGATACAGAGAAAATATATTAATGTCTTGGCTGAAATATAAAATTATTTTGACCTATTTTTGTTTTAAATAATCTTTTGAATATGTAAACTTTATTTGATGTTCAATATTCAATCTTGCTACAATTATAAAGCATCCATCTTTATCTAAACAATTTTTTGTCAAATAGAAAAAAATTCCATTTTTGTGAAATTTTGAATGAAAAATTTAAATCGATGCGGTTTAACTTATGCATTTTACAGATATGAATAAAACTGAAGTTGTTATTTTCAGGATTTTTTTATACTATTTTGTTGGTTTCCTTTGTCCTTAATCCAAGAGAAAAAGATACATGTACTTCCACATCCGGTTTTAAAGTTATGCATCGTTTATAAGTATTTAGTTTTCACTTCTCTATCAAAAGTTATTTTTGATTTTTTTTTTTAAAAAAAAAAAAAAAGGACGTCGGCGTATTTAACATTATTTTTCTTACTTTTTTGGGGGAATTTTAAATGATGCTTGGGCTGTATACGTTTTGATATAAATATGATGTGTTTTGGTGCATTACTTAATTATATATCAAAGTAATCGTCACTTTGTAAAAAAAATATTGAGAAATAATGTACTTTGTATGTTTTTAGTATTTCTAAGGTGTTTCTTTGCTGTCAGTAGTATCCGGTTGTTTTAACATTATGCACTAATTTTCAACTTATTTACTTTATACTTGCGAACATCGTTTGATTTCATTTAAGTAAAATTTTTAATTTTTCTGCTCGGTCGTTCTTCTTCGTGCTTAGTAACACAAATAAGATACTTCATTATTGCATTTACTTGTAGAAGTATATATATCTATAAAGGAAGCGCAAAAATGCACGCTCAAAAACATGACATTATATTTTCTTCTTCAAACTCAGAGTGACCTATTGTTATCTGTTTTCGTCCGTCGTCGTTCGTCGTGCGTTACCATTTAAACATTTTCAGCTTCTTCTCTGAAATCGCTGAACCGATTTCAACCAATTTTGGCATATAGCTTCTGTGAACAAAGATTTGGAATTTCATGGTCCTGCCCGCCTAGGGGGTAGGGCCAAAACCACTAAAATTAGTGCAATCTTTCTATACTCACGGACATTAAGCAGTCAAACTGTTTGTATGATTGTAATCAGCATTGAGTTCTAGTGCTAGGGTGGGGCTATATTGATTATATAGTGAAAATTTCTTTGAAAATCTTCTTCTCTGCTCCTGAGCATTAAATAAACTAACTAAATACATCGTTATGATGAACAAGAGTACCTCTATCACAATTGTGAATTTAATGGACCCAGGGTCAGGGGTTCTATTGTTAGGGCGGGGCTCTTTTGATTATATAGTAAAAATATATTATTTTTTGAAATTCTTCTTCTCTGCTCTTGGGTATTAAATAAACTAACTAGGTACACAGTTATGATGAGCAAGAGTGCCTCTGCCAAAATTGTAAATTTTATGGCCCCAGGATAAGTGGTTCTGGTGTTAGGGCGGGGCTCTATTGATTATATACTAGGTGAAAATGCATTATTTCTTTGAAAATCTCCTCTGTTCCTGAGTATTAAATAAACTAATTAAGTACATAGTTATGATGAACAAGAGTGCCTCTACCAAAACTGTGAAATTAATGGCCAGGGGTTCTGGTGTTAGGACGGGGATACATTACATTACAGGTATGAAACTCTTTTTCTTTACTCCTGGGTAATAAGAAGATGAACTAATATATAGTTATGAGGTGCAAGGGGTCTTCTTCCAGAATTGTGAATTTGAAGACCCCTGGGTCAGGGATACCAAAGAGGGGAGGGGGCTTTACTTATATACATACTGAAAATGAATTGTTTGAAATCTGCTCCTTGGTATTAATCAAACATTTTTGATAAGCAAGTGTGCATTTTCAAAAATTGTGCAATGTGTAGACCTAGGGTCAGGGGTTCATGTGGGGTAGGGGCACTTCTAATTATTGCTGAATATTACTGATTAGTTTAAATGTATTTTTGGTTCCCCTACCCTTCATCTGTGTTTAAGTAAACAAACTAAAAAATTGCTAAGTGTATAGTTATGATTCGAAATGATGCCTCTTTCAAAATTGTTACTGCTATAGCATCTAGCTTAAAACATGAACCAAATTCAATCATTTGAAAGTTGTTGCATGATGCTCAGGTGACCTATAAAGCCCATGGGCCTCTTGTTGTATAAAACGATGGAAGGAACCCCGACATTTTATGTAGATAACAAAACCAATGCTAAAGCAGTCTACATGTCATTCCTATACACGATAACTCATATATCGGCACTTTGTTGGTCATTATTTACACTGTCCTTAAAACACAACATCGTATTAGACAATTATCAATAATTAAACTTTTTAATGATTAAATTAAAGTAATACATAAGTTATTATCTTATTTGATGATTTCATGTACATATTAATCTATCTATGAAATATTTTACCATATGTGCAACTTGAAAAATTAGTTGAAATGCCTTTATACCAGAGATGTCTGAAAAAGGAACGAACGACAACTCTGCATGGGAGAATGACAAATTATGTCATAGTACACCAAATGTCACCTAGCAACATTTCTTAAGCAAAAGCATCATTGAGAGAACTTGTTTTTCAAATTCTTGATATCTGAAGGTTCCGTTCATTAAATAGATTTGACTTAAGCTTTTAGCATGAAATATATGGAGATAATGAACAGTATTCAAGTTCGAAATTTCAAAAAGCAATACAATAATTTTATTTTCAATAACTTCAAAATTTACATTCAATGATTAGTGTTTCTAGACATTCAAAGAAACATAATTGAAATTTTCCTGAAAAAAAAGACTACATGCTTTCTCTGCTGTGTTTTCAAGCATGGGAAATTTTTATTCGATTAAGGAAGATGAAAGAATATTTATGTGGGTTTTTTTGCAAAGAAGTAAACATAAACATAGTTACTTTAAAGTGCATCAGGTAATGAATAAGCCCTAAAAAGTAACACAGATTATAGCAACGAAAAATATGTACATGAAAATAAATATTTTCCAGTTTAAAGCCACTTAAACAATAAGTGGCATTCCTACATTTTGTTTAATGCACTTTAGAAATTAAATGAACACAGATGTTATCGCAATATGATGAGGAGATATACTATTGTTTTTTTATTGCAATTAAAATCTATATTTTTGATTCTGGAACTTTCCCCCAAAAAGTCATTTACATTTTCATTCCAGAATGTTATCATTGGTTGCTATAAATGTTTTCCTTTGATGTTTCCTCTTGTACCCGGATGTAGTCCAGGACAACATTGTAGATTATCATATACTCCTCCTTAAGGAACAAAAAAATTATCATTAAAATAGACTGACCAACACATATTATTGCAAAATGGAGAATCATATAGGAAATCAAAAATGCATCGTATCAAATGTATGGAGGAGATGTACATGTATATATCTATTTAAAAAGAAACGGTATAAAATTTTAAAATATAGATCTGAGATTGACAACACTTTTTATTGCAGAATGAGGAATCGCATGAGAAATCAATAATACATTGTATTTAATGTTTAGAGATCAGGAGATGTATTAATGATGGAAGTTACCAGGTTGGAGCAGAGTTCCGGTCGTCTTATCTGTAACTGACGGACGGCAGTAAAAATTTCCACCTCTCCGTCCATAGTTAGCTGTTGTAGTGTGTTAAACACAGAGCAGAACACCCCACATAGGGCTGCCCCATCACTGAAAATAAAAAAAAATAAAATCAATATATGTCGATAATTGTTATAATGTGTTATATACAGCATACGATACCCCACATAGGGCTGCCCCGTAACTGAAAATAAAAATATATATGTAGATTACTCTTATAATGTGTTATATACAGTTCAAAAAACATCGGGCAGCTCCCTCACTAATGATAATTTTAAAAAATATAAATATCCATAAACATTTCTTATAATGTCTTAAACACAGCTCAGAAAACTCCACATAGTGACAGCTCCGTCATTGATCATAAAAAAATTATAAATATCTATAGACAAATGTTGTAGTGTGTTAAGCACAGAACGGAAACACGGCAACTCCATTAAGGGCTGCACTATCATTGATAATAAAAAAAAATACCAATTTCCGTTGATTATTGTTGTTTTTACTATATATTTATTAAGTTAGGATATGAATGTACCTGCACTTTTTATGCATTGATTCCAAAAAGAGACACTTATTTGGACGTGATATAACGAAATTGTGTTAAGGTTGTTTTTTGTTTATCGTCCCATAAAACATTTTTCTATGCGATATCTTTCGATGTATTACGATTTATTTTCTTTACCTGCTGACCACTGTAATGGGGCCCTCAGTTTTACTTTGAAGTGCAGATGAAACCAAATGTAACATCTGTATTGTCGCCTGTGAGTTTTCTACTATTTTCAAGCTTCCTGTTGGTTCTATGATCGACACGGAACATCCCTCGTCATTTGCCTAATAAAAGAGAGAGAGCTACAACTTAAAAGGATGCTTCAAAATCTATGGAGTAACAAAAATATCTTAAATGGTAAAAATAAAAACCAATTACTTAATTTTATAGAATCGGTTCGATAAATATTACCTACCCCATCTTGGATAATGTTGATTATTGAACATTTGATATCTGTGACTTGCTCTTGTCCACAATTGACAGTGAATGGAGCGACAGATTTCTTACTATTGGCAGCTGGTAGCCACATCTTTGTCTACATATCATAGAGATTTTCAAAATGAACATTATTTATTGGTAATCGTTTGTAAGAATAAAATCAAGTTATAAGAATTATTTACTCACTGATTCAACTTTCGTTAGGGGATCCATGCAAATGACTATATCTGATTCGTGGTCAGTAAGCAGGCGCAGAAAGTCGACAGCGTCCCCTGCTGGTGGATAATGTGTTATTATAAATGCCTTGTTCTTGGTGTAGGACTGAAAAAAGGAAATAAGTCAATAAAAGAGCATTTTGTTTTTGTAAATCACACTCTACATTGATACAAAAGAATTTTTTCATCTGCTCATTAATCTTATATATATTATTCAATGCAAAAAAACGGTTTTAATTTTTCAGCACCGTAAATATTAATATTGATATTCTTGAGAAGTTATTTTTTTCGGCAGTTTGCATGAATTTGAAGTACTTTCATTCAGATTGACTTCGTTGTAACGTACTTTTATTTCTTACCGTTAACACTCATTTTAATCAATTGCTAAGCAAAACAAATATTTACATACAGGAAGTGTAATGGCATTGATGTAGTTCCCGCGTTTTGGTACACTTGATGACAGGAACAGGCGATACTTGTCAACTAGAAAAGAGAAGTTTTACTTTGTATAAAACCACATCTCTGAATGGTACGTGCATAACTCAAATGAGTGTACACAGTTTACGGGGAAAAATAAAATTGCATCTTTGTTACCGAATTAGCTGATGCACTTTAATGGCATATAAAATATTTCAAAGTTTATGTGTTCATTTGAGCAGATTTCTTTTTTCAATATTGCCGAGAACAATGTATATTCTGATCTTGAAAAGAGGAATATTCTTAAATTTACACAGGAAAAATAGTGTTAACTTAAATTCATTTGCAGACTAAGATGAAAATAAACGTTTACTTTATGGCAAACAAGTGGGTTTTTATGGTTTAACATTTGCATATAAACTATCAATCAGAGTGAACCATTATGCATATAATAAGTAAATGCATATGCAGTACTTTAATTAACGTATGGATAACTTACGTGGAAGAACACCTAATTTACTTCCACTGCTCTCTATAGCAAATTTGTAGGCTGCTTCTGTGTATCTGGGCCTTACTCTTAGGAGATTCTAAATATGTGAGTTAGAGACAGATGATTCATTTTTTCATCAATACCAATTTAAAATCATGTTTGAGCAAGCAAAAATACATAGATTAATGTTTTTAATTAAGGAGGCTGGGGGATCAACAAGTTAATCAAAAGATAACTAACAGATTTAACTTATTTCTTTAGGTACATTATCTTAAGCTGTCAACTCTCATTTGGCAAAGAAAAAAATCATACTTTTTGGTTTTGAAATTTGATCATTTTTTTTATATCTTTGTATGGAGCTCCTCTTTTAAAGGAGATCGAAATAGTCTGAAAATGGCTGCCACCCCAGCCTCTTTAAGTTAAACAAGAATGAAATTTAAAGTAATTAAATCTTTAATAGAATAAAACGGACGAAAAGCAAAGAAAGGTTTCAATTTTTTGAAGACATAGACACCTATCTCAAACTTTTTTCTAAACAAAATACGTATAAACATATCATCAATCAGGTCAACCAATTCTGGATTTTCTTTAAGCTTTAATTTTAATTGACCTATAACTATACATGGAACCAAACTAATAATATATACTGTCAGTTTGCTCTAGAAGACGTAAAAATAATATGAAAATCTTTAAAAACAAAAACGTTAAGAGAACCTGGAACTCTTTTCTAAGTTCGCTTTCATTGGCTGGTTTATCCTGGGTCATTAACTCTGCCTTCCTTGTAAATTCAGGTTTGGTGAAGACACATGTTGGAGCTTTGAACACTGCTTCAAGCGCGAGGAAAATAGTCTGGTACTGTTCCTGTAACGTCCACATACCAACACCAAAATCAGCAATTAAGTATAGTTCATTATTTCAACATGCATTGTACTAGTTATATTTTCTTTTTTTTTTAAAGAATGTGTTTTCGGGTATGACGATGATAACATACCCTCTTCCTTTGTAATTGGAAAATTTAATAATAATCTGTTTTGCTCGTTTGAAATAATAAAGCTCGTAAAGAACATGTAACATTCATATACCGATACAATGAATTTGTCAAAAGTGTTTCAGAATTCATGACCGTAGAGAAATAAATCAGAATAATGTGTCTTCAATGTGTTTTATAATTATACGATTTTAAAATTCAACATTTTGCTTTGGTAAATGCTACGTTTCAATTCTTTTTTTTTAAACTAAAAACAAAAACATATAAATACAGTGTTTTGTACGAACTTTGACATTTTTATTAAAGAACTCTTCCCGAGATATAAGGTTGAATTATGTTTGCTTTAAAAGAATTATTAATCTTTGGAGAACTACTATAATTGGTGCAATGGTGACAGATAAAACGAAATGACTTGTATCTAAAACTTGAATTTTGTTCGGAATTTACTTACGTAAGTTTGGACCATGTTCATTCTGCCTTCCCTCATTTTCTTCACGTATTCCGCGATGTTGACTTTCCTCTCTGATTTTCCCGCCTTGTATAAAGCATCTAAAGCAATATAAGTACCAGTCCGCCCTATCCCTGCGCTAAGGTCATCAGGGTTAAACAAAAAGACATTTTTAAACAACGTTCGTTCTTCAAAGATACCTCATGGTCTAATTTAAAAGGTTAAAATAGTCAATCAATCTTTTTTCACAAAGTGCCTTAAAAAACAATCCTTTCTACACATTTTAAAACTTATAAGCACTTTGAATTAGAAATTCTAAATTTTTTTTTCTTCGGTTTAATATAAATGCAACGTAAACAGTATCAATTATATTTAAATAACCTGCAATGAACTAATTTGGGACCAGCATTTTGTTGATCCATCGTCCTTGTCACGTGATCATGCAACACTACAAGACAGAGCGGTTCCGGAATCCCGTGATCCGGCCAGGCAGTGTAGTGGTACTGGGTCACAATGCGGGATTTTTTATGCTAATGATTAAAAGATGAATTCGGTTCGCTTATGTTATTATTTAATCATTAATGGCGTCAAACCCTCAACAAGAAATATAGCATTCATACTTAACAAATTAATATGTAATTTTCTTTTTCACATAAATTAGTTTCATGCTCTTCAAATATGGGATTTTATTGTATTTACTTCTTTGATCTGCAATATTTCCCAACACTGTGATGCAAAATATTAAATTTCAATCTAACTTTCAATTTTGCTTTCTTAAAATGTCCTCCTGTATTGCTAAATCCAAAACCATATGAAGAAATTCCAAAAATGATTTTTATTTGAATGAAGGTCTCAAAAAAGGTTTAATTCAATATTCACAGAGAACATATAATTACAAAAATCAATATAATGAAAACCTTTAATGGACAGCTTGATCCCTTGTTTTCAATCTTTTTTTTTTTTTCAGAATGTATTGTTTATATTATTTCATATCTAAATATAAGACGAGCACTTTATAACATAACAAGTACTTAAACATGAGTACTTACCACTTTATGGGTTACTCTAAATTTCAGGATTTTATAATTGGCGTACATTTGCTCCTCTTCAGCCAGTAGCGAGATGACACCAAATGATATAGACTGATACAGATCTGGCCAGTACTTGGAACATTTCGCCTGATTTATAAGTGATTTTTTGTAGATTAAATAATTGAATGAATTCCATCTAAACAATTGAACTTTTAAAACATAGATGGATAAGGAGGTAACGAACAATATTCAATTTCAAAATCATAAAACAATACAAAATTGGAGAAGAGCAAACAGGGACCTCCGAAACATCAGAGGTGGGATTAGGTGCCATGGAGGAGCGAGTATCCCCTGCTGACCGGTCACACCCGCCGTGTGTCTTTGTCATGATCATAAAATAACGGAAAAGTCCGTCGTCAATTCATTGTATATATAATAGAAATTTCGAGTATTAGGGATATGCCAGACAGAGCTGGGTGTCTATTTGTTCGCATTATTTTTTTCAGTCTGATTCTTAAATATCAAAGTATTTTGCATCTTATCGAGTTCAAATGAACGAGATTTATCGTTATCAGATTTTGAATACGCCTGGTATATTATGTAAACAAATTGTGCAGAAAAATTGCTACCTTCTTTCCTTCTTTGAGATTGGTCAGCATGATTATTTGGTCTACGTTTTCCTGCCAAATCATCGTCCAGAAGTCCTTAATGGTGTTTTGTCGAGGCCCTGTTACAGAGAAACATTTATGTTATCATGATTATTGTATTTTTATTAATCATTAACCATCATAATGTGTCAACACAAAGACAGTGGATATATAAATAAACAGGTGCCCGTTTAATAAAAAAAATTTGCAACTTAATCTAGAATTACATTTTGCTTACAACATCATATGTGTACTAAACGCTTATTATCTTTTTAAAAGATATTTTTAGATATGTTTAAAATCATAATTTTAAATACAATAATAAATTTAAATGAATTACAACAAGTGGCAATTTCTTTTGTAAAACGTACTCCAAATGTTCTGTACCTTGTGCTGCAATATATTCTTTTGACTTGGCAATACCCTGAAAATAAAAGGAGAATGTTCGGCAATGAAAAGTATTGAAATTTGACTACTATTACATTTTTTTCTTCAGATAAAATACAAAATTGATTGAAGAGGATCATGATTGACCTTAGAATGCTCATATATGGCAATGTTGCATAACATTAATCCTGCTTTTCTTTTCAAAGACATTTTGTCTTAATTATATTTATTTTAAACAAGAGGCCCAAGGGCCTTGAATTGCTCTCCTGATAAATTGTACAATCCATCACTTCTATTTGAAGCCTCTAACTCTAAGTATCCCAAGAAAGTTTGATGATTCCTAGCCAGTTAGGAATGAAGATATTTCAGTATAGCTATAAAATGCCATAAGTAGGTAACGGGGACCTACTTTTTCATTTGAAACATTCTGAGGACTCAAGATGCATTAATTGACAAAGATTGATGGTTCTAAGCCAAAAAGTACCACATATATATTCAAAAAGAGGTCACTGCGACCTTCTTATGGTTGACATTCTCAGAAAACCCAAGATGCATCAACTGACAACGTTTGACAATTCTAGGCCAATAAGTACCCCGGATACTTAAATATAGCCATAAATGTCAAAAATAGGTCACCGTGACCTACTTCTTGGTCGACATATTCTGAGGACCTAAGATGCATCAACTGACAATGTTTGATGATTCTAAGCCAACAAGTATCTGAGATAATAAAAAGTAGGTCACCGTGACCTACTTTTTGGTCAACATTCTCTAAAAACTCAAGATGCCTCAACTGACAACGTGTGATAATTCTTAGCCAAAAAGTACCTAAGATACTTAAATATAGCTATAAAATGTCAAAACTAGGTCAAAGTGACCTACTTTTTGGTTAACATTCTCATAAAACCCAAGTTGCATCGTCTGACAAAGTTTGATAATTCTAAGCCAATAAGTACCTGAAATAATCAAAAGTAGGTCATTGAGACCTACTTTTTGGTCGACTTTCTCAGAAAACCCAAGATCCCTCAACTGACAATGATTGATGATTCTAGGCCAATAAGTACCCGGGATACTTAAATATAGCCATACAATTCAAAACTAGGTCACAGTGACCTACTTTTTGGTAAACATGTTCCGAAAACCCAAGTTGCATCAACTGACAAAGTTTTATGATTCTAAGCCAAAAAGTGAATAAGATACTTAGATATAGCCATAAAATTCAAAACTAGGTCACAGTGATCTACTTTTTGGTCGACATTCTCTGTAAACTGAAGTTGCATCAACTGACGAAGTTTGATGATTCTAAGCCAATAAGTACCTAAGATATTATATATAGCTATAAAACGTCGAAAGTAGGTCACCATGACCTACTTTTTGATTGAAATTTTTCGAAGACCCAAGATGCATCAACTGACAAAGTTTGATGAGCATAGGTCCAAAAGTCTTCAAAATGTGCCTTTTAAACAATTTGAAAACAAATGCCTGCAAAATTCAAAAAGTAGGTCACAGTGACCTACTTTTTCATAAATATGTTTTAAGGCCCCAAGATACATCAACTTATAAGAGTTGGTGATTCTAAACCTCTCAGTGTCTGAAATAATGGGATTAAATGTTTTAGAAAAGATGAGCTATAAAATTCAAAAAGTAGGTCAAGGTGACCTACTTTTAAGTTGACCTTGTTTAACGACCCAAGATGCATCAACTGACAAAGTTTGATGATCATAGGCCTTAAAGTGTCCAAAATATGCCTCCAAATCAATTTGAAAACAAAAGCCCGTAAAATTTTAAAAGTAGGTCAACGTGACCTACTTTTGTGTTAACATGATGTGAAGTCCTAAGATGCATCAACTTACAAGATTTAATGATCCTAGTCTTTTTAGTAAGCAAAATATCAACGTTTTTATTAAGTGTAAATTTTCTTTAACTTTGAAGTGACCATGAGACCACACCCTTTGCCCCAGGGTCATGCCTTGAACAATTTTTAAATCTTCAACATATCCTGACCCTTGTATGTAAGTTTGGTGAAAATCTGCCTGGTGGTTCTGGAGAAGAAGACTTTTTAGCAACCAGTACTTTTGGTTTCATTTTCCTGATTATCTCCCCTTGTTTTAGGGTCCCAACCCTAGTTTTAGTATAAAAGGTAGCCCTTGGGCCAAAGATACCCTGTGACAAATTTGACAATGATTGGCCAAGGGGTTTTTAAGTTATGACCCATATTCTAAAAAGTTAACGCACACCGCACACCGCACAAATGGCCATAGCATTAGCTCTTTGAGCCTTTGGCTCAGAAGAGCTAAAAAGTATTTTGGCAAAATATAATGATAAAATTACAATACCCGTTATAAGGTTTAAATATCCTTTATAATTTAATTTTAAAAAAAACATACATTCAATCAGCTGCCAAAATATAGCTGAAATATTGTCGAGTTGGCGAAAAACAACAATTATAATCAATCATATATATTCAGTGGGATAAAGTTCTATTTAATCCTACTTACGTCAATATAATTAGCGTTAATGTAGTCAGACTGGCTATCTGACAATATGATTCTTGAATGGTCATCTGGAAATAATCATTTATAATTATCAATCATTACATATAGAGCATAATGTAAATTCTTGGCAAAATCTTTAGTTGTGGTTTTCTTGATATCATTATTGATATATTGTCTTAGCACCATTAATTGACTTTATTTTAAAAATGCCTAATTCCACATATATTTATCTCTGGGATTAAGATAAAGGATGGTTTATCATACATGGAAATGTGGTCTTGAATCTGTTTTTCGGCACGTTTTCTGGTAGCTTTCCAGCATCGCAAGGGTACTTCTCACCATATGGCATGGCCTGTTTAACAAATCATTATATACATGTACTGTTCTTTCATCAGTTTCATCTATTTACTACATGTATCAAATGTATATATAAAAAGTTTCCTTACTGCATATTCCCTTTTAAAACCATCATCTTCATTTTTCCTTTTTTCCTTTATTACGTTCTCCAATTTGTCAATATCTATATCTGGGATTGTTTCCTCATTTAAATAGAAATCTCCATATGGCTTTTCGTCATGTAGTTTTTCGTCGTTGTCAATATCATCTTCGCGCTCGTTGTTTCCTAATGTGATATCTATACCCGTTTTTTGGAAATTTTCGGAATTTATCTTTTTCTCCTTGAATTGTGGTAATCCTTTTGTATTCTCATAAATATCTGTAAACCCCGTCTTTTCTTTTTTTGATGATGCTTCAATGCAAAAATATGCGTATTTAGATTGATTTTGTCACGATTGTGACATTACATATATAGAATAACCAATTTATTATATTTGTTTAAAAGTCATTCTAAATTTTTACGTATTTTCTCGTTTTCAAACAAATAATAAAAAATCATTTTTTTTAGTTTAAAAAAATGTTATCCTCATACTAAATGTGTTTATCTCTTCATTGGTCTTCATTGTTTCTTGATCAGTCCCTTTCAAAGTCCGCGACCTTTAAAGGAAGGTTTATTAATTATAAAGATACTGTATTTGCTCATATATCTGTGATTAATTTATTTCTTATAAAAAGGTTTCGCTTAACAAAAATATAATGAAGTGGAGACACTAAGTTGTTGACACGAGAAAATAATATAGATAAGATATACATATCGATATTCTTTTTTAGCGATAGAAAGGATTATGGTCTTATGGTCTTATACGATGTGTATGTGTCAATCTGATTGAACACAGACGGGGTTGTGATATTTATTAGGTCAATAAAAATGATATCAAAATTATAAAACACACACACACACACATACACTCACACACACACGTTTATCATGACAAGTACAATTTTTCATTACACTTTGTAATGCACAAATACTTTAATATTTCCTCTATTAATCAACTTACCGCCTAATAAAGATGACAACAAGTATGATAACAACGAGTACAACAACAATAGCAGCGATGGATCCCCCAACTACTGGAAGAGTATTTTCTTCGGTTTTTAATGGCTCACTACAGAGGGATCCCCCAAATCCATCAGCACATCCTCCTTCTGAGCATTCACCGTTAATATGGTGACACTGTCTCGCACTACGACACTTTCCACATGTTTGGATGCAGTTTGTACCATACATTCCGCCGTCACATTCTTCAAAGATACATTTAAAATGATTATTTCTATTACAATTTTTTGGTGGTACTATAAGACTGGCGGCCTGTTATACAGAGCAAACGCTCGCGAGCGCCAAAATTCCTTGTACCTCCTACAGAAATGTTTGCAAGCGCCCTCTCTCTGTTGAATACGCCTCATACTTACATATGAGATTGTTGCCCGCCTGGCGCGGAGGTTAGAGCGTCTGCTCTATAGTAGCAAAGTAAGGAGTGGATCCTTACGTCGCGGGTTCGAATCCCACTGTGGGACGTGGAGACCGGTCTTTCGGATGAGACCGTATAAACCGAGGTCCCGTGTCGCAGTAGTTGCTGGCACAAAAAAGATCCCTCCCTGTTCAATGGCCCTGAGTGCCGAGTATAGGACAAAATTTGCAGCTCTCCACCGGCAAGTAGTGGCGCCTCCATATGACAGAAAAATTCTCGAGAAGGAAGTTAGATAATATACAATCAATCAATCAATACATATGAAATTTGTTCATATTTTACAAAGCAATCTTTTGTATTCAATCGAACATCCTTGTAAACAAGTACCATTTATATGGTCACATTGCTCGTTCTCTGAACAGTGCCCACATTTTCTGTTATAGTTCTTGCCATACATTCTACTTTCACATTCTTAGAAAAAATTCAAAGATATATGAACAGCAAATGACATTTTCATGTATAATCTGTAAAACCTTTCACGTTTCACAGCCTTTGAATTATTTTAATTATAGGATAAGGAGATTACAAGCTTTTCATACTTTTATCTGCTTTTGACCCGCTTATTCAATACTTGAACATCGCAATCACTTACCATCTTTACAGTATGGTTCCTTGTAACCAATACACCCGCCTGGACATTTTCCAGTGATGTGATGACAGTGAGTACCATTAAGACAGTGTCCGCAGCTCTGATTGCATTTATATCCATACAAACCACCATCACATTCTGGGGGGAAAAGTTTAAACAAAGTGTTAATTACAGGTATTTTTAATTCGAAAGTTGTTGGAAGAATATATCTTAATGATCAGAAATAGATAAAAGGATATTCTGCAAAAAATAAAGAATGCCCTGTTCCTTATATAATTATGTAAAAATTAATTAGTCCAGAAATACTCATTACTTGTAATCATTGTTAGACTGGATTTAATATTTGTTTGCTATACAACTATTTTTTTCTATGGACTTCTGAGCTTAACGTAGGTCGCGGGTTTACAGGGCTTTTAAAAATGTTCGAAAACATACCATGAAAATTTCCTATTTGATTTCTCTACCTTTGATGTCCATTCTCTGAAAATTTGATAAAATTCGTCTGCACCGTTTTTGTGTAATTGAATTCCAAAGATGTCATTGTTATAGTTACATTTTCAACGGTATTCTATTGAATTGTATAGGAAAAACGTCGTTTTTAGCTTATTTTCAAGCAAGGATTTGATTAGAAAAATATCAGTAACTTTTAAATTGTGCAAAAGAATTTGTTTATCCTTTGGTATTTAAAAAAATAATTGATTTGAAATAAATCTATGTGAAAAAATTAATGTGTCTTCGGGTTCATTTTTTCCTAATTTAATTGTAGATACTTGCTTTTATATTGAAAAATGTAGCATTTTTAAGAACAACGTCATAAAATATCGCGACATCACGCTTGACGTCGTGAATATCGATCCGGTATACAGAGCAAAAAAAATTATACGGATTTTAAGAAAAAGGAAATTCACGTATATCTGCTTTCAAATGACCAGTATCATAATAATTCAATAAAATAATTATTAGACATTTTCGTTTCAAGCTTATTACGTCTAATATTAGTTAAAATTCACGTAAAAGGCGTGAACCAACAATCAGTCTTTTAGTTTCTTTTTTATATATATATATTTTCTTCATGTTTATTTCTTACCGTTTCTTTTTTTTGTTTTGTTTTATTCATTGCGCGGATTTGCAAAATAAAAGTGACTATGTATTCCATTCTGGAAAAGGCAGATTCCCCACCCCCGTTGAAATCGATCGCAGATCTGTGATCCAAGTTTCAGTTTGTTTGAAAAGTCGTAGGTATGAAGATAATTCAGAAGTCAAGGACTACTAACACCCCAAATCCCCAGCCCCGAAATATGTTTTTGTATGTACCTTTTTTCTTTAGAAAATTCAGCAAGGCTATAAAATCGACAATAGTTTCTTAAGAATCAATTTCCGCCAAATATCCACCCGAGTATTAGACTAGTACGTGTATTAATGCATTCAGTGTTTATATTGAAAATATTTTTGCTTAAGTTAACAAAGATGCAGCAAATAATTGAAATAAATCTTAATTTGATTTTATTTTATGCTTATACGTATAAGGATAGAAAAAAAACGTACAAAGAATTCTTAGAGGGGTAAATGGGACGATAATTTAAACATTAATTTTATTTGGGGCAATCAACAGGCAGATTTTATTTTGTTCTTAGACTTTCAATGTATACATATAACATTAATTCTACTGAATGAACATGGAAAGCAATGCAGGGAATAAAATATGTATGTGTAACTAACAAGAACGTGTGCCGTTATTTACACAGGCAATTTGAGTATCGACCCCCCTCCCCTTCATTATTTTAGATTTTTAATACGTATTGCATTTATCTCTTAAAGCGTAGTGAATCATGGAATATGCAGAAATTAGAAACACGCTCTTCTTCCTTTTTCAGATTTATATTTATACAATTCTTTGTGTGCCTCCGATTATTAAATATTTCGATTAAATCAACATGCACATATCGGATGGAGTTAAAATTCAAAAATTGGAAAAAGTTTACTCACCCCGGCCTTAGCACTACAAGTAAAAAATGGAAAGGAGGAAGGGGGTCATATCCTACGTGCCTGTGGTTATTTACGAGAGGACAATGATGTTCAAAAAATGTATTTAATCAAGTTTATGTTTCATTTTCTAGTTTTACCCTGGTAGTGCCTTAAATAAGTAGCAGTTTTAAATTTGTGATCAACCTGTATATAGATTTGATACCGCTTCGTAATTGAGTTCGACTTTCCATCGGTGAGCAGAGTTTTGACGCTGTTTACAGAGATAAATGAAAGCAAAAACATGCATGCAAATAATGCCATATATGGTTGTGTAAATAAATTGTCGTAGAAGACAATGGTAATTAACAGTTTGTTATAATGCATTTCCACTGAAAGTGCACACTAAAATAAGCGCGTTTCTGAGGAGGAGGTATCGAGTGTGATTCGGATTTAGATAATCTGTTTTATAATTATACACATTTAATACATGTTTTTAATATTTATAAATCATACATGATACAAGGGTTAAAATTTATTTCCGAAACAAGTACATACATGTGCTCTCAGAATAGACCCGAGAAGATGCGATTGATAACACATAATGAAACGCTTTCTAACACTTTCAGTGATGGTCATTCGAATCAAAATGAGCCTTCGTTATTTTTTATAACTTCAGCATGTTCTATACTGTTACACTAAACTACGAATTTCAACAAAAGTTATAGCTAGATAATGAACTGAATTTTTCCCTTTCTCACCGTGACGTCATAATCAGATGTGCACAAGAAAGTCGCCCAAATCATATAAATTGCGTACCCAGTTTTAATGACGTCAGGAAACCCGCGACCTAGGTTAAATACTTGCATATTCAATATACAAAAAAGTCTAAAGATGCACCCTTAAACACGTTACGTGTTATTATTTCATTAGTAAAAAAAATTATAGATTAACTAATTGCAGTTTCGCTTGATAGTTACAGGATATTGATTAAATAAACAGATATTATAAATTATTTCAAATATTTTAAAATGTTAATCTAGCCTTCAAGATCTTAACTTCAATTTAGTTGCAGAGCATAAAATTTTATTACATATAACAAAGAAGTTCATTATTCAAAGATAATGTACCCTCAATATCAATATCTGATTATATTCAGAAATGATGACATTCCAAAATTTCACTATGCTTCCTGATAATCTTGCTTTTTATAATTTATTTTTGTTTTTGTAGATGTTTCAAAAAACTGATACTTTTTTCAATGATGTAATCAATCTTGTCCATATCTTTTTGAATAATTTCTCAGTTAAATAAATAAATGACAATATTCATGATGACCTGATAGTTATATAGAAAGAGGGTTTATCAGCAGTCCCGTTTTTTTTTTTTTTGACAGATGATTTTAACCCTAATTTATTTTGTGCTCTTAAAACAATTATGCAGAATGTTCGTAAATGTACAATATGTTTTACCTTCAGTACAATGCGTCCCTTTATATCCAGCTGAACATCCTTGTGAGCAGTTCCCATAAATGTGATGACATTGTGTATCGTCAAGACAGTGGCCACAGCGTGTATTGCAGTTAAAACCATACATTCCAGCGCTGCATTCTTATGTATTTAAAATAAATATAATTTATAACATTTTTATTCTTATCATGTATTTTGGTATGCCATACATATTATACTCAGCATATATACAGATTTGTAGAATTTATGTAATAATGCTTCATAGTTAAACATTTTTCTTACTCATTTTACAATTAGATCCTTCGTATCCTGCAGAACATCCTTCTGAACAAGAACCGTCGATATGGTAACACTTTGTATCATTAAAACACTGACCACATTCCTCACCGCAGGATGCTCCATACCATCCTTCATCACATTCTTAAATATTTTTATATACATTTGACCAATGTGCTTATGTTTATCATTACTGTTTTACATTTACTTTTTATTAATCAGAAAAACATTCTATGAGAAAGATTATCATTTGGACTAAGTATTAAAATGTATTTATGTGTTACAATTTTGATGGAAAACCTCTTGATATTGCTTGAAATAAGCTTGAAATTGTGGACATTAAGTTCTTTACTTACTGTCGATACATAGAGGTCCCTTGTATCCAGGTGAACACCCTCCTAAACATGATCCATTAATGTGGTGACAAGGCACGCCATTAAGGCAATGTCCACAGATTTTGTTGCATTTTAAGCCAAACTTTCCACCGTCACATTCTTTCGGAAAGAACAAACATTTTAATTGCACTCTCATTATCCCATTAATGACTTTTTAAAAATCTTATTTTTTAATAAATATCATATAATGAGAAAATGCCATATGTCATTGTAATGCACTATATAATGCGCGTTCAACAACGCCAACACTAAGCCTAGTAAATTTTTTTAGGCACTGAGGGGCATTGAGCAGTGAGGGATCTTTTTCGTGTCAGTACCTACTTCGACACGGGACCTCGGTCTATACTGTACGGTAAAATATATGGAGATATATTTACGGTCTTTTCCGAAGGACAGGGATCCGTTTTAAAAAAGAAAAAATATGACTAAGTCCAAAAGCTTGAACTATTTAAAAATTTTGCAAAACTGATGATTCAGTTTAAAATTACCAGCGTAAAAATATATATCTATATTCCTTTCAGGAAGCTTCAAATCATTTTCAATAAAATAATATAGATTAGAAAATTACCGGTATAGACTTAACATAAAAAAATATTGGTATTAGTCGTAAGTTCTTTGGTAAAAGGGGTCCCTGGTCTCCACGTTCCACAGTGGGATTCGAACCCGCGTCGTAAGGATCATCTCCTTACTCCGCGACTTTAGAGCAGACGCTCTTCCACTTCGCCAAGTATGTGACTAAAACACACGTTAACAATGACAGTGCTCACACCAACCCTTCAACAGTTATGGTGGTGGTTTAAGGATTTCCGAATTTAGTTACAAACACACATTTATACCCATTATTTTGCCCCCGAAAATTCAATTCCGAATAAAATAAATAAATTTTATATTGAATAAAATCCCAGACAAAATGTAAAAAAAAATATTAAGACATATATTATAATAGTGTTTGTTAGGAAAGATTTGAAGACATTTAAATGATTTGACGAAGAATACTACCGTAAACGTTAAAATGAATTTAATCTGCAATTTCTTCTGATACGTATACATTAGAAATAAGAACATTGTGTTTTAGGCATTTTTACGAGTAGTTTTAAAGGTTTTCTATTACTTACTCTGACTACAGCGATGACTTTTAAATCCGGGTTTACACTCAAAACAGTTCCCTGAAGAAATATTACATCTTTGCTCGAGGCAGTTTTCTGGACAAAAGTGGACACAATACTGGCCATAGTACTTAGATTCAGGGCATCCTGTTTAGTACCATGAAAATATTAAATGTCTCCCTCTAAAAAATGTTACAAAGGTTTAATACAATTATAGTTTATCGTGTAAAACGTACCGCAATATTTAAACTCACCGTACACCTCCAA